TATATATATATGTGTGTAAATATATATGTAAATAGGTGGAATGTTTCTTTTGATTCCATCTGATGTTTCATATGAAATAATCAGTACTTTCTTGCAGGGCTCGTTCCGGGGTCACCTGACCTCCTCACCGCCGCCATCCTCCGCCCGCCGCCGGCCCAATGAAAACGCAGTGGTGCATTTCTTCAGGACCATTGTAAGTTTGAGACCATGTCAATGTCCTTCACATTTGGCCCATTTGTCCTGCCTACAGCAATGAATTAGGACTTTCAATTTAGCCCAAATTTTGTCAAAATGTGGGCTACGTAACAACCGGACTTTGACTAAATGAGGAGGTGAGGGAGACTGGTTTGTCTGTAGGAGCTAAGGTCTGGTACAGGTAACATGTTAAACCAGTGGAACCAGACTTTGAGCCACCTTTTCATCTGCCCCAGGTGCAACACCTGACTGACAGTAAAGGCTATTCTGTTCTATTCTATTCTGTTCTGTTCTATTCTATTCTGTTCTGTTCTATTCTGTTCTATTCTATTCTATTCTGTTCTATTCTATTCTGTTCTATTCTGTTCTGTTCTATTCTATCATATATAATGAGCTGAATGTCCTAATGCCTTGCTGGTCTTCCTCAGGTTTCATCCCCTCGTCCTAAATCCAGGGTGAGTTTCATGAATTACCCTCCAGACTCACAGCTAACATGTCATATATGTATATATGACATATATATATACATATATGTCAGAGGTCATATATATGTATATATAATATACATATATATGTCATATATACATATATGTCATATATATATAAACATGTATATATATATGCACATATATACATATATATGTATATATATGAAAAATAAAATTCAAATTCAAATCTTAGAATACTGAAAAACTCATCATTCATATTATTATTATTCTTCTTCTTATTATTATTATCATTCTCATGATTTTTAATTTTCATTCGTATGATCATCTTTTGTTTTCCATGTCCAGTGGAGAGAACTCCTGGGCTTGGTACGTCATCACTCTTTCTAGCTGCATGTTATTCATGTCCTGGTTGTTTTCTCACCCAGTCTTCGTCAGTGTGACATGTCCAGTAGAACACTGGACACCAGGACCACTCAGGGACGGCTCTGGCTGACGGCCGTGGTCTACGTCTCCTCCTCCTTTTTTCTCACACCTTCAAATTTCTGTAACATCTTCATGTCCTTTGCTGCTCATGTATTCTTCCTTTCATGTCTCCAACATGTCCTCTTCTCAAATGTCTTATAAGACATATCTGTCTCCACATCACACACACAGTGTTTGGAGTGGATCCAAACTTTCAGGCTGGACTGGTCCCAGGTTTGATTCCACCTGGCATCAGGAACTGTATTTGATTTTTTTTTTTTAATTCAGTATCCAAAAAAACCCAAAACGCTTTTTTTAGCGTGCGCAAATTACAGCATATGTATTGACTGTGTATTAGAGTGACAATAAGTGAACGGTCTCACCTGGTGGTAGAGCAGCAGGTGTGGTTTCAGGCCGACCTGACGTCCAGGTCTACATCGGTTCTCACCCAGCGTTTCTTCCCAGGCCTCATCGCCGCGTGCCGAGAGCACAAAGTCCCCGGTCAGAAGACGCAGGGACCAGAGCACGCTTTCCAGACTCTTCAACCTGGTGAGCCCACAGACACAGACATGGTCAAACTCTCAGGCCTCTCTTTTTTTTCCTCTGTAAACCTCACCCACCGCATGAACCTCACCCTTTCCTGTCTGTCTTCACCCACGTACAACAGTGAGGCTGTCAGCAGAGACCAGTGAGTAACAGATCTGTGACATAAAGACGTATCGGCGGGGCTGTAACGATGCTAACTGGCTAGAACAAGATACAAAACATGAAGTGGAAAGAGTTCCTTTCTTTACAGGAACGTCACTCAGGCGACGCAGGGATCCTTTCTTTACAGGAACGTCACTCAGGCTTCACGGGGACGAAAGAGTTCGTAGCGGGTCATGACCAACGATTTTAGGCACCTACCGCCACCTACTGTACTAGAGTGTGTAGTGTCATGGTACGACCAGTGACTTAGTTTTACTCCTTAATGCGCGATTACGTTTTTTTTTTGTCAGCAGATTTGAATTCCCACACATTAGTATGGATTTTTAACCGACTCACGAAGCATCGTTACATCCCTGGTCGATTCATTTCACAGCAGCTTCTCGTCATAATAAACTAAAAAACTGACGACCCAGCCGACATTTCATTTTTTATTCCAGCGGCGGTCAGTAACCTTCAGGCGTAAACCACATCTACCTCTGTTTCATTTTCAGTGTGGATTTTCCTAAAACCTCCATTTTCTTTAACGTAGACGACAATCAAAGCAACTCGCCGCAGTTTTAACCCAGACATTTTGCCGAAACATATCTACAGAATAAACCTTCACGGTCTCCCCCCACGGTCCTGCTCTTCAAATTCAGCTTTTGTCATTTTCTCTGCAGGGAGAAACCAAGTCCCGTCCACCCCCCAAACGCTGGAGCACCATCTTCTGAGCTCGCCACTGAGGGCCAAACCACAGACCCGTGTGTGCCGATGGGACAAGAGGAGGAAACTTATCAGGCCGGGGGCAGGGGGGGGGGGGGGGGGGGGCGGAGGGGTGTACGGTGACACACAAGCCTACGGAGCACTCCCACCAAGACTGTGGCCATGAAGTGGGCCCCGGGCCTTAGGTTGAGCTCCATGTGGAGGCCTGATCTTTTAATCTTCTTCTTCTTCTCTGATCAATTCAGGTCGCAGCCAATCACCAGGCTCCGCTGTGGAGCCACTTTACGAGGCCTTGTATTCTCCGGCCCGTGTTTCCAGACAGACATTTTATGAGGCGGAGCAGAGTGTAACAGTAAATCTCTTCCTTCCCCTGTCTTCACCAAAATTACCCCCCCC